ATTGCAGCAGTGTAGATGTAGCGATTGTCCGCGAATGTCGGGTAGGCCGTGTAGCGGGCCGAGGGTCTGGTTTAGGTGGCGATAAAAAAGGTCCAAACCCCGCCGGACGTCGTCCTGCCCGTTCCAACTGCCAAGGACCCGTCCGTCGACGAATGTGTCTCCGAGCGGCACCGCAAGTGACTCACGCGACAGGCTGGAGACCGAGCGCTGCGAGCGGAGAAGCAGGTCCAGTCCAAGTCGTAGGTGGCTGTTGCTCCCGTGCAGAAGGTAGACACAGGGAGGAAGCGTTGACCACCGCCACATTATCCACTCCAGGTATCCGTATCCCTCGTCGCCCTTGTTGTCTACGGACAAGACCGAGCGATTCGACAGCAGGCCGCATTGTTCGACTATGGTTGCATCCCATGGTAGCCACGCGGGCGGCGGCTCCCGACATCTCACCCAGACGACCTCGCACATCGCGGTCATGCTGGCATTCGCCGCAGCTGGCTTGGCATCAAAGCGTTGCTGTCGCTCCTTCATTTTGGCCGGCATCAAAGCTGGCGAGAGTACGGTCTCCCCATGCAAACATGATAGTCCGTGTCGCCGTGCGCACGAACATGCAGATAGATGGAAGGCCGGGCCGAAATCTTCCGGAGTTTCGCGCGCCACCAAACAAAGCTTGCAGGCTTGTGGGCGCGGGCGGATCTGTCCTGCTGCAGGGATGCGTGCACGCACGGATGGCTTCGCCCTCATAGCTGCCGGCATAACCCATGTTGGTTTGGGTAGGAGCCGTTTCGCCAGCTTTGACGTCGGCCATGATCAAGGAGCTGCGACAGCAACGCTTTGACCCCAGGCCGGCTGCCGCGAATGCCAGCATTGCTGCGGCTTCGTGGGTGGATTACCAGAACACCACGGTGATGGAATCTGCCTGGCTTCAGAAACAGGCGGTGCTTCGCGAGGCTGCAGCACGTGCACGCAGCACAAGGCGGTCGGCTTGGCCGGTGGTGCACCATGTGACGTATGCCAATGGCTGCTGCGCGACCATCCTGCAGAAGAACCACGACGCTGCTGTGCAACATGGGGCGCTCACGTCTCTTGCTCTTGGCCCGGCAGACTTGAACCCGACGTGGTATCTGGAGAACGACGCCGTCCTGCGGAGCAAGCGGGGAGCGGGCTACTGGCTGTGGAAGCCGCGTGTCATCCTGGAGGCGCTCGAGCGTGCGGAGTGGGACGAGGTGGTCCTGTACATGGATTCTGGCTCACTGCTACAAAAGCCACCTCACGGCCTCGCCAGATGGGCGATGAACGGGAGCGGGTTCATGCACTGGTGCAGCCCTCATCTGGAGAGGGTTTGGTGCAAGCGCGACGCGTTCGTCCTCCTGGGCTTGCCGTTTCCGGACACCGAAAACCAGGCGCAGCGCACCGCTGCCTTTGTGCTTGTGCGGAAGACGCAAGCAAATCTGAAGTTCGTGCATGAATGGCTTCGCCTTGCACAAGACATCCGCGTGGTGTCTGACATGCCCTCGACCACGGGGCCGGAGGACAGGGCGTTCAGGAGCCACCGACACGACCAAGCAATCTTGTCTCTCCTAGCGAAGCGTCGCGGGCTCCCGTGCTACCGAGATCCGAGCCAGTGGGGCGGTTGGAGCACTCCCTCGTCGGACCAGGCCCTGTATCCTGGGGATTATGGGCAGGTCATCGTTCACACGAGGCAAAAAGCCTGATGACGCGATAGGTCGCCCGGTTTTGGGGTGGCTGGGTCGCCCGCCCGAGGTGGGTCGCCCGGGATGGGGTGGGTTGTGTACGAGTCCCAACACACCCAAAAGCAGTATTTTTCAGAAAACTCGTCTCTTGTCCATGTATTACATCAACTGACACCGAGAGGCAGCCTGAGGCAGCCCGCCGAGTCCAGAGACGCCTGCAGCGCCTTACACAATCAAGCAGCCCCCAGCCCCCATGCCATGATGTCCCCATAAGTACCTCGAGATAAGTACCCCCAAAGTGACATACGGAAGCAGCGCGAAGCAGTACACAGGTCGTCGAGCTGCGCAATGCAAACGCTCTCACGCCCAAGCTCAGCTTCGTGGGTCGCGCGATTGTGTGTGTGCGCACGTGCAGTGTGTAGAAACACATCACGTCAAGGCTTCTGTCGGCGTGGACTGTGTTCGGTGCTCTCCCACAGTCTCTGGACTCTGCGCTCGGGTGGAGCCAGTTCAAATTCACTATTCTTTTAGTGCCATGAGTGCGCTAGACACGTCCCCACCTTTGCAGGATGCTTGGAGCACTTGCAGTTATTAGGATTTTGCAAAAGCGAGGGGGAGGGGAGCGGGCCGGGTATAGAGCACCGGCGCTGGCTCGCTGCTTCTTCCACGCCGCAGCTGACTGTCTCCACTTCACGCGCGGACGTCCACCTCACCGGACACTCGGCCGCGCGACAATTTTGGATGGCGACATCAATCATGGCCTCGGGCGACGTGGGCGGAGAGGCCGGCAAAGGCATGGCGCCAGAGGAGGCGCGAGCGCTCTACGATGACTGGGGCGATGGATACACGACCTCGGTCGAGTCTTGGGGCTACACGATGCCGCACGAGATTGCTGCGGCGCTGGCGAGCCTCGCAGACGACGCTCCTTCGTTCTCTGGCAAAATCCTCGACGCGGGCGCCGGCGACGGCCTCTCTGGGCGCGAGCTCCGCGCGGCAGGCTTCAAGAATGCGGACATCACCGGCGCAGACCTGTCCCCGAAGCTGCTCGAAATCGCAGCGAGCCGCTCGGTCTACGACCAGCTCAAGCAGCTCGACCTATCGCAGCGCCTGCCGTTCGAGTGCGAGAGCTTTGACATGGTGAGCTGCGTCGGCACACTCACCTACCTAGCGCCGTCGTCGGGCGTCCTCGCTGAGTTTGTGCGCGTGACAAAGCCGGGCGGCCACATCTGCTACAACATTCGCACCGACCACAAGCTGGCGTGGCTCGAGACGGAGAAGGCGATGGTCGCGAATGGCTCCTGGCAGCTGCTCACAGAGACGGAGCCGCGGCCATACCTGCCGAACAATCCCGACTACGCCGACAAGGTCCTGACCGTGATCTCTTGCTATAGGAAGACCGTGTGAGGGGAGGCTCTGGAGCTGCGTGGCGGCAGGCCCCTTCCCTCTTTTGTACACCTGTGAGCGGTAAAGGGTGTGGATGCTGGGTTGACGGAAATCGGGGGACGCGACCCACTTCGCCACAGACGGTCCCGCGCCTCGCCGCTAAGTTTGCGGCACGCCCCGCACCGTCCGCTGTGCCGCGTTTTTTGTCCGGAGTGAAAAGTCCAACGCGCTCGTCGGTGGCGGCTTCCCCCAACCTGCCCGCAACCTGCGCCGCGCTCGGGCCTCGGCATAGCGGGTCAGCAAGCCCTAAAACGGCGGGAGGGGTAGGGCTATATCGATAGAGCTAGAGGGCTCAACCACCCCTCCACCCCTCCACCCTCCACCCCTCCACCCTCCCGGAGCGAGAGGGGTCCGTCCTCGAGCCCTCCCACTTCCACCCCTCCGACCGGAGGGCTCGCCAG